ACGCACGCACGCACACACGCACACACGCACGCACGCACACACGCACGCACGCACGCACGCACACACGCACACACGCACACACGCACGCTCGAGCGCACATCATTCATATACAATAAGTCTTTCTAAAAATCCATGTATAGAAGACACTTATGGTTATAAAATTAAATGACAGACTGATTTGCTCACACTGACCATGGAAAAGCAAAGCCAATGGCAATTGAGAACAGAGACAGAGACGAGGTGAGGACATCAACACGCTCCTCTTGCCCACTTGGTCCTCTGTCTTAGACCAGGGAAGAAATGCAGCGGCTCCATTTGTAAAAATGGAAGACTCTGATGGAGTTAAAAGAAACTGTCAAATGTTTGGCAAGTCTGTGAGGACAGCTCCCCAGTGTTATTTAGAATGCAGAGTCAAACTTGCTGCAAACAGAAATAGCTTCTGTGAACAGTCGCTTGGTAGTGTCTCACATTGTCGAGCGGGTCCTAAGGTTTCTTTGAGCATTGGTTTGGCCCAAATGCCTCCCTTTTTGATTTTTTATGTGAAGAGCCCTAGGTTCCAGCATGGGTGGGGCTGGTAGGAGTCCAGAAATTGGCCATGACAAAGCACTTGACACAGATGGGGCTCAGTGGCGGCTCCATACACAATGTGGGTCACCTGTTCTATAACTTAATGTGTCTCAAGACTTCTCCAAGGTTAGAATCTGCAGAGGGCAAGTCAGACATAGGTGACTCTGTCCCCTCTTCTTCTCTGTCACAGCGGGTGTTCGTCTGGGACCTGGACGAGACAATCATCATTTTCCACTCCCTGCTCACGGGGACTTTTGCATCCAGATATGGGAAGGTAAGGATTCATTTTGTCTTTCTCTTTTTTCTTAAAAAAAAAAGTCACATTGATTTATTTGCTTATTCTGTATGTACCTGTGGGCCTGGGTCTGGGTGTGAACATATGTGGCACTATAAGGGTGTGAAGGTCTGAGAAAAGCTTGGGGAAGTCAGTTCTCAGCTTCCACCATGTGAGTCCTGGAGATCGAACCCACCCACATCATAAGGCTTGGCAGCAAGCGCCTTTACCCACCCTGCCAACCTGCTGGCTGGACCTTAGCTCTTTTCAGATGTGACTGTGTGCCCAGGCTGCTTGTCCTGGGAATCATGGGGGCTGCTCACAAGAAACATATCAACCCCAAACTGGCCCTCTGTGTCAGCCTGGGATTGACACTAGGATATGTTCTTCAGTGTGTGAGAACCTCACCAGTTTCCTATCTGCCATCTCACACATTTGCTTCCAGAGCATGAAGTCTTCAGTATCTGTAATTACTGAAGTCCTTGGGGGGTCTACTTCCTTAAAGCACAGGGGTACACCACAGCCAGACACATAGTAAGCTAGAAAATGGGTCGGAGTGCTTTCCTACTCCCCGGTTATCAGGGACTTGACACAGGTGTGTGGAGGCCAGAGGTTGACAGTGGTTGCCTTCCTGTTTCTCCCCACATTTTCTGAGGTGGAGTCTCTGGATGAAAGTGGAACTCACTGATTTGGTAAGGTTGGCTGGCCAGCAAGCCCCAGGCTCATGTCTCTGCTTCCCCGGGTCTGGGGTTTCAGGTGCGCACCACTGTGCCTGGCTCTTTACACAGATGCCTGGGATCTGGGCTCAGGTCCTTGTGCTTCTACGGAGGCATTCCACTGACTGAGCCCTCTCCGTAGCCTGCTGTGGACTTGCAGATCACAGATGAATCATCTCTTCAGGGCAATTTGTAGGGGTTGAATGTGGTACCTAAGAGGAAAACGTAGTGGCCATCTGCTCAGAGGTGACAGCCCAGGGGCAGCCACTTCCAGCATGGGTGGAGAAAGAGACTCACCAGGCCTGGAAACCCTTTTGTTTCTGCTTGTGCGCTGGACTTGACATCACCTCATGGCTTTCCCAGCTGCTTGCGGTTTTTATGGAGGCTATAACAAGCTGGAGGTGTGATTAACAGGGTAGATTTATTGTCTGCCACAATGCTGTGCCGGATATAAAAATGGTGTCGGGGGCGCAGAAATCTCTCGCCCATAGACACGCCATTAATATGTGTGGCAGGGACAGCGGCATACATTCTCAGACTCTGTGAAGCTCACTTAGTTGAGTGCCAGCAACAAGAGTGGCTGCAGACATTAGGGGCTCAGCAGTCACAGCAAACACACACTGTTCCCTAGGGTCACAGCTAGAGGTACACTCTCCCCCAGGGCACTGTGTGTCACCCACTCTTTTGTGGCATCCATCCAATTCTCTCCGTCTCTCTGCCTCTCTGTGTGTCTCTCTGTATCTCTCTCTGTGTCTCTGTCTCTGTCTCTGTCTCTGTCTCTCTCTCTCTTGCTCGCTCTCTCCACACACACACACACACACACACACACACACAGGTTCACACTGGAATACACTGGGTGAGACTCTATGAGCCCAGGAGAAGCGAGCTGTGTGTCCCTTGGCATCTTAAGCTGCACTGGGAGGCCCCTCAAGAAAAGGACCCACCTACGACTCCATTCTGGGTCCCACAGCCTTGGCCCATGTCATTCCTCAATGCCAGCCCCAGTGTCACTCCTCAGCCAAGTCACTACCTTCAGCTGGGCCTCCTAGCTGATCCCCAAACCTCTGCTTTCCCGTCCACTTCTCTCAGCCTCCCAAACCGCTGTGATGGCAGATGTGTGCCTAGTTAATGTCACTTTCTTTACCGACGTTCCTAGCCACTCCCGTCTATGCATCTCTCCCTAGAAAAGTGTTTTGCATTTCTACCATAATTGTGCTCTTCATCCATACCTCCTTTGTGGACACCGGACTCTGGGGACAAGGGGCCGTGAACATTTCTCCACTTCCCAACCCGGATGGTTCAGGGGAGGATTTGTTGCTCAGTGAGCATTGATTGGCTGGGCAAGTCAGGGTGATGTCCTGGGATGCCTGCCCTCTGGGGACCAGGACTTCCATTCTGTCTTGTCCATTGCTTCATACTCAGGCACAGAACATAGCCTCCCACTTAGCAGGCATCAAGTAATTGTTTGCAGGAAGAAGGGAGGGAGGAAGGGAAGGAGAGAGGAAGGGAGGAGAAAAAGAAGGAAGATAGTGTCAAAACAGACATTCCTAACTGGTGGCCACTAGCCAAATTCAGCCTGCAGATATTTTTGTTTGGCCTCTAGAGTATTTTTTTTAAATGTGAATTTATCGCCAACATTTAAAAATCAGGCAATTGCACAGACCAGAACAATCCAGATTTCCAGCTCTTCTTGAAAAATGAGGGAATCTGGCAAGCCAGCACTCCCCTGTGGCAGCAATCATCAGGAACCAAACATCATGTCCCCTAAGGGACATGTGTTCGCCAGGCCCATGGCCCCACCTGCCCTACTTCTCCCAGCAATGGTACTCTCTAGCCCCTTGGGTATCTGAGTTTCGGTGCCCTAGAACTACCAGGCTGTAGGAGGTCAGAGCTGGAAGGACCCCAAAACCACTATATGCAATCAGTCTCCATAATTTGAAGGCGAAACTGAAGCTCAGAGGAAGTAAGGTCACCCGAGGGAGAGATGAGACCCAGGCTCAGGTTCATCTGCCTTCTTGTGTAATCTCTGAATGTACTCATCCCTCTTCTAGAACCTTCCATTCCTTCCCCCAGCCCCCATATGGTAAAAAATTAAGGATTTTCATTTGCTAATTTTGGCAGACCTGAATTTAAGAGCCTTGAAATAACAAGGTGACTATTAATTTCTCGTGCACAAACATACACACACATATACACATGTATACATACATGTGCACACACGCCCTTCACAGTCCAGGCAAAAGCAGCTCAAGCTGGCCCAGCCCCAGGGATGGAAGCTGCTCCGGGCTTGCTCTCTGCCATCCCAGGAACATTGCTACCACTGCCAAAATTATTCACAGCTCACCTCATGTCTTCATTCCGGCCAAGAAGAAGAGGGAACAGGAAGAGGGAAACCATTCTTTCCTTTCCTTTCTTTTCTTTTTCCCCCTTCCCTTTCTTTTCTTTTATTGTTGCTATCATTGTTAAATTTCATGTGAATAGATGTTTTGCTTGAATGTGTGTCTGTGCACCACTCATACCCGGTGCCCATGGAGGCCAGAAGAGGGTGTTGATATCGTGGAGTTAGACATAGTTGTGAACTACTGTGTGCAGGCTGGAAATTGCTGCGCCATCTCTCCAGCCTCTTTTCCTTTGTCCGTCTCTTTTAAGGGCCAGACCCAGAGGTAAGCATGTCACTTCTGTTCACATCCCATTGGCTGAAACTTTGTCACATGACCACACCTAGCTGCAAGGGAGTCAGGACAAAATGGTCTTTCTCTGGGGCAATCACATGCAGTTAAGATGCAGGGGTTCTGTTGCTCTGAAGAGGAGAAAGGATGAAGAGAACCTGGCAGTTTCTAGCCCAAAGTACTGCCCAGAATACAGTTATTTCCATGTATGGAACGACTGAATTTGTGAGTCTGAGCTTTAGAGAGAAGTCCAAGCTACAACTCTAAGCCAGGAAGGTGGAGAAGTGGGAACAGCCAACATGAGCATAGCCTTGAGCCCATTTTGCAGACAGAGTAACCAAGGTCCAGGAGCCAGTGCAGTTGGGATATTCATAACAAGTAGAACCCAAGGCCTCCACTTCTAGCCTGCCATTCTTTCTCTGTACTCCGCCAGCTGTAGTCATGGTACCTATTCCTACCAGCTGAGAGCAAGCAGAACTCTGGGTTTGAAGCATACATAAGTGTGATGCACAAGGGACTGATCAAATCACAATACCTGAACCATCCAGGGATTGCTGAGATTCAAGTCTGGCTGGATCTGGAGCAGCTTCCTCAGCCCACCCTCAGCCAACTTCTCCACAGAGAATTGGTCCCTCTTGGCAATCCCAACTGAAAAAGAAGTTTCTGCTTCCTAAGCCCCAGCATGACTCTTGCTCCACACTGGCTCCCATGCCCATCCCAACCTCTGCACTTCTGCTTGCCCAGGCTAGACCCAGAGCCCATTCCTGGTATGGACGAAATGGAGAACAAACTATCTTATACCCCAATAAAATGGACCCAGTGGAAGAGGGCTGAACACCCCACCCCCAAAGGAACCTGAAGCACCCTTTCTGGAAGGGTGGAAACCCTCAGATACTCATGAGTCTGGCTCTGGAGACCAAAACCCTCAGGGCATCCAGGCCAAGCACTCATGGCTCTGTTCACTCAACGGTCACCCTGTTGAGTGGTATACAGAAGCAGGGCTCATGTCTGTCAGCCCCAGCCAGAGGAGGGATCCCTGTTTACTTAGGGAACAGAGACCAGAGCTAACCGATTAAGGAATGATCCGAAACAGGGTGTTTGCATTTTAAAACAGAAACTGGGCCGCCTTCCTGATCCTAATCAGGGGGCTGCTGAGAGCAGCTGTCACCTCTCACTTGGTTGCCAATGCCTCCTCCCCGGGGCTCAGCCCCTCCCACCCCCATCCCCCACTCCTGGAGCCCGGCAGTAGCTGTCTCCCACATCTTGTGGGCCAATCAGATGTGCCCCAGCGGTGACGCTCCCTCCTTAGCCTCTTGCCCACTCTTCTCTGAACCCTGCTTTCCCTGCAGGGATTAGGAGAACCCAGGTGGGAGGTGACTGTGCCTTTGCCTGGAACCAGGATGACATTTGAGGAGAGGTGTGTTAGCCGTCTTTCCCCCCAAGCTCCCTCCATGCCTTACCTTCCAGGAGCTCCATACAGGGGTGGAGCTTACCTCTGGGACAGTGACTCCAGCTTGCGCTGTGACTGATGACTGCCTTGTCTAGATTCAGTGTGTTTGGTATAAATGGCCATCTCGGTATACACCGCTGTTTATCCCCAGAGTTGGAAGAGCAG